GGACACTTTGCAGCCCATTGGATGTATACAGTACACTATAAATGCTATGACTTGTGTATTCATAGAGCCAAATCAGTATCAATACAAAGAATCAACCAATAAAGTTCTATCTAATCTAATCTATATACACAACAACTTCTATCATACTCTGTTTGAAATTGTGTCATTTTTTGACTTTTCAGAGCAACAGTTTTTTCAGTGACATGTTAAGAGAGAGTTTTGTGTATTCAGACTAACTACTATAAGCAAATCGCCGCTTTTAAAGCAGGTATAGTTATTTAGTTCAAGTTTGTACTGTTATTGGCTTCCCTGCTGAGAGTAAGTAGGTCGATACCCCGGAAATACCGACTAATTCAGAAGCTGGACCCATCTGTAAGTTAGCTTTGCTTAGCATAACACCTGTTTACAGCTAACTTAACTCATACTCTACAGTCAAAATGTAGGTTGTAAGGTAAATCCAGTGTAAACCTTATTTATTTATTTATTTATTTATTCATTCATTATTTCTTTTTAAAAATGACTATTTTGAGACCCAAAAATAAAGGACTCAGTGGTTCTCCACCAGAATTTGATTACTGGCAGCATCAAGGATCAATAGAAACAGTTAGATTTTAACTTCAGTTGAGATCAGCATAAAGAGTGTAAACATGACATTTTACAGTTTAACATAATGGGTGTAAACATGATGTTTTACAGTTTAACATAAGAGTATAAACATGCCAGTCTACAGCTGAACTGTGCTGCCTGCTGTTTGCTCTTCACATAAAGTGTTGTCATGAAACAGCGCCATCTTAACTGATTTAGTTCACTGGTTAATGGACCATACATTTCCATATACAACTCTTTTGCATAATTAAGAATATTTTGTGGCCTTAACCTTAACATTCATTTTGTCAGATAAATTTGTGTCATATAAGTTTGTAGGATTTTAACTGTAATGTATATATATTTTTAATCTCTCTCTCTCTCTCTCTCTCTTTTTTTTAAAATCCCAAACTACCTAAACTATCTAAAGTTATTTCTCTACTGGAAAACAATGTGGTTCATTGTCTATTGTTTTAAGTGTGCTACAGAAGTAATGTGGTCATAAAGTATTTATTTTTGAGTGGAAGAAAAGAACATTTGAGATGAAAAACAAAACAAAACAGGATAATACATGTGGCTGGTTGTCAAATCTGATTGATCTTTTTTGCAGAGAAGAAAAAGAAGAAATTGCAACCAACATAGCCACAGTTAATTTTGACCTGACAAGCTGTCAATAAATAAATAAATAAAGCAACAATGATTTTAAATTAGGAAGGTGCCTGCAGAGATATAAATGTATTATGAATGTTAGCTTCGACATTTGAATACTAATGAAAGCACAACTTTTTGTGGAATATGGTGTATGTACAATGTACTTCTTAGATCTGTTTACAGATAATATACTATTTAGCTATATTTGGTCAGCTATAATCATTTTTGGTATACGCAATAGTCTGCTTCTTTACGTGTTATTCAAAAATGTCTTTTTTTTTTGACTTGTCAATAAAGTCAGATTTAAAAATAAGTATTTCTTCTTCTTCACCTGTTTTTGATGCAGTACAAACACTCGGCAGCGCCTCCTGCTGAGCTGCTTCCGAACTGACAGATCTGAACATGTGAGCTCATCTCTGCTCCCTGAGTCAGTGTGTTAGTTAGCTGCGAGGTGATGGAACGAACAGCTAGTTAGTGGCTACTAACCAACTACAGTTCCTAGACAGTGTTTGCTGTGCTCGGTCTGTGCGGCTCGGAGAACCAGAGAGAACCGCTGCTGTCCGCTGAAGCACCGCGCTGCTGCTGCTGCTAACTGAGCTAAATTCGGCTAACGAAAGCAGCTGCAGACAGTAAGAATAAAAATGGCCTCTGTTTCTATTCCTGCCTGCACCAGTGCACTGCTGCTGGATATTGAAGGCACCACCACACCTATCACGTTTGTAAAGGTGAGTTAAATTAGATAAAATAGCCGCTATACGCATGAAATGCTACTCATTTAATAGCACTGTGGCTAATTATGTACGGTTTATTGCTAACAGCTGCTTGTCAGCGGTAGCAGACCGCTAAACCAGGATAGCTTTATTGTGAAGTTATAGAGCTAAATCTAAAGTCAACACTGCTTTCCTTTACGTGTTTGGACATTTCATTGTTGTCTTCTTCATTATTTCTTTCTTGGTTCCTTTTATGTAACTAAACGCCCATCTGGTAAGAAACGGACCATATGCTGCCTTCAGGCTCCACTGGAATTGTCGTAATTACGAGGGTCGTACTTGTAAATGTCAACGCTCAATTTTTTTCAATTTTTTTTGTTTAATGGCATTTTGTTTTTTAATGGCAATTTGTTTACTAAACACGCCTTGATACTTTAAGATTTGTTCATCACAAAACAATCATCGACTAGTGAAGTCATGCCAAATCCATTGTTCACTCTTAATTCATACAGAGATTTCGTCAATTCACGGTACTTTTAAATGTCACACGGCTGTAGACGCTGTATTCATGCAGCTAGTTCAAGTAATTGATCCCATCTCATTTCATATGGTGTGAACCCAGTTTCGCAGTTCATTGAAGAACTGTTGTTTTTAGGATACCAAAGTAATAGCTTCAAACCCAGAGTACAAACCTAAAACACCAGTGAAAGTAATTGTGATTGTGATCTAATTTTTCTTTATTAAATCTATAAAAATATAGTGGTATTGTAAGGCTCTGGAGGTTTTAATAAGAAGCAATAAAACAACAGGAATGAATGATTGTACCACAGTGTGTTCAGACATTTTAATATTCAACCAGAAATGAGGGGTGCTTCCATTAACATCAGCTTACTTTCCGTTCATGTCTCTC